GGGTGGTGCGTTACTAGGGTGGTGCGTTACTAGGGTGGTGCGTTACTAGGGTGGTGCGTTACTAGGGTGGTGCGTTACTAGGGTGGTGCGTTACTTGATGAGCAGACTTACCCCGAAGAAGCGAGGTTAAGAGCTGCTTTAGGTACTCTTTGCTCCACTGGCCTTTCCACGTCTTGATAGGAAATCGTGTCATAATTTCAATTTCAGTCATGTATAACATCTAAATCACACTGCCTCGAAGTAAGACGGAATCCCGATGCCTTGGACCTACAGACAGGTTGTTTCATTCCACCTAATCCTGTAGTCTATCCAGGAAGGGAGTCTGAGCGTTTATCTGAGCGTTAGCCTTTCTTAACATCATAATAATCTTCGAACCATTCGATATCATTTCGTCTTGGGGCCTTAAATCTTCACAGGTTCCCCTTCCCTTGGTGTCATACTACAGTGCAGAACCCGACGAGACCCTAAACCCCACGAGCTGATCGCTGATTCCCCCACAGGCCCGTCATCGTGTCATTGATCTTTTTCTGTTGCCGCCGGATTTGATCCTCAGTCTGGCCCCTTGCATTTCCCCTGGAGTCAATCTCCATTGCATCCGAGTCACCTTGTGTCACATTAGCACCCCTTGCTTCCTCCCCTTGGATTGGCTGGCCCTGGTCATTGAGTACTTTGCTTCCATTGACCATCTCGGGCTTGGGTTTCGGATCCACACTCATGGCGCCGTCCATATGGCCCGCCATGAGTCCACCTCCCTCTCTGAGTTTATTGATCGCACGAACCGTGTCGATGGCCTTGTGCAGTGTTCTTCTCGCATTGAAATTCTTCTTTACTGTTGGCAGGAGATCTTGTCCGTCCCCAGGACCCTTAACAGGAGATGTGGGGTCGGTGTCGGGCTTGATCCAGGGGTGCTGCAGAGCTTGGTGTGCGGTCATGCGGGTATGAGGGTCGATCGTGAGGCAGCGCTTGATAAAGTCCCTCGCGGTATCGGAGACGTTGCGCCAATACTCGACGGGGGTAAAAGAGTAGTCGGCGGCCAGGATGGCTTGCATTTCTTCGAGATTGGAATCGCGGTCGAACGGAGTGTAGCCGCAAAGGAGGAAGTAGGTGATAACGCCGATGGCCCAGATGTCGCTAAGAAATCTGCATCAGTCTTGAAGAGTCGCCGAGTTGATCAGGAGGGATTGTGCTCACACAGGCTTGCCATGACCTGTCTTTTTGAATATCTCGGGTGCCATATACCCTGGTGTGCCGCACGTCGTGGTCAAGACATGGAATTGCTCCTCGTCCATGATTCTCGATAAACCAAAATCTGCAATCAAGAGATCCGCATTATCTTCTGGTGTTCTGAACAATAGATTCTCTGGTTTCAAGTCTCTGTGCACGATGCCGTGGTCATGGAGATATGCGACTGCGGACAGAGTCGCTCGTATCAAGTCGGCGGCATCGGATTCGTAGTAAGAGCCTTTGCGGCAGATGCGGTCGAAAAGCTCTCCACCTAGAGCGAGGTCTGTCACAAGGTATACTGCGGCAATGTCAGATATATCCAGACGCGAGGAGTATCAGTCGCACAGTTGTTCATGGTTTCAAAGTAGTCAACAAGGGTGAGGATATTGCGATGTCCTACCGAGACACGCTTGAGGACTGCGATCTCATTGCGAACCTGTCAAGCGATCCGTCAGCGGATAGCTTCACACTGGTGATCAAGGCACAGCTGACCATATGCTCCCGGCCGGCCATGAGCCGTTTGTTGATGACTGCGAAAAGGTCAGCTATGGAGTCGGCTCGAGACGGTCTCTGTGCGCACCTTTTGCGGCATAGTATCTTCCTGTATCTATATGGACACATTCCTTAACCACCGAATATGAACCTGCGCCCAGCGTTTTTCCTGGACGAACATGAGCAAGATGTACCACACAAAGTCCGGCGATCCAAGCGTACCAGTCTTATACCGGCAAGGCTGAATCTGAGGTTTTGGTTGCCCTTGCGCCGCCATATCCACTGTCTTTCTTCAGTTTTCCCTCGGCTGAATCGTGGTATAGGAAAGTGAATGGAGCAGGCAAGGTAAGCAGGTTGTTGGCTGATGGCTGAGGAAGGCGGGGACCGAAGAGATCAAAGAGGGGATGTGCCACTAAGAAGACAAGAAGATGGTCTGAAGGCCCTGCAAGTCTGAGAATGGGAAGTTCATAAGAGAACAACTATCGTGGGGAGGTGCGAGAGAAGATGTCTAGGTCTATATTCAGCTGAATCGAGACTCAGGTACGAGCCAAGAGGAGGTGCTTCGACATCGAGCTCACCCCTCTTTGGGACGAGGGTGATGCCGCCCTATGCTCACCTACAGTACCTCGCGTGAGCCATCGAGCCAGATAACAAAATAAGTGGCACAGCTAATTACGTCACCTAGCTAGCCCCTTTCCACCACCATCACTATCTTTCCTTCTACCAACTCGTTTCGATCTGTCTACCACTATTTTGCTTATTATAAAGAAGATGGTCGTCGTACGTCTAATTACGCCTACTAAAGAAGAGAGAGAGCCACCAGAATAAGCCCATGAGCCTACGCCGATTAAAGAAAAGATACGAACATTAATAGATTTTAGCCAGTGAAAAGATCTCGATATTAGTTAATACGATATCTTTTAATCCTGCGGAGTTACACTACGAATGGGCTATCGCCATATTAAGCCTTCTTAAGAGCCTCGAAGACATTATAACTCGCTATATTCCGACGAGAAACGCGGCCGAAAGTCATTAATTACTAATAAAAACTTCGAGAATCTTAAAGACTTTATTCTTATTACGGATTCGGCTAAATATCGAAAGAACGGACGTCTAATATAATTAGACCACTAGCTAAGAGATGCGACTCGAGGAGTGCATCCTCATAACTAGCACACTCCCCGTATAGGAGGCGCACTCTTTCCTCTCTTACGCTTTAAGTCGTGTATAGTATCGATTATATACTATAGAGATATCTTATATATACGCTTATCGTTAGATTCTATCTACTTACTAAGGAATCTCTAATATTTTTAAAGCGTTAACTCTAAGTCGATCGAAATAAGCGATAAGCGTAAGATATATAGAATATCTATCGACGAGAGAATAATTACTCACTCTCAGTCGAAAAATATATTTATATGTTAGAGATCCTACTGGGGCCTAACTGGGTTAGGGTTCCTAGTAACAATCTGAATAGTATGAACTGGTTGGGAAGAACACAAGGTATGAGAAGTCACTTGTCACTAAGAACTATCAGTCCAATAGTTAACATGAGTTGGCTACGAAGAGAGTGTAAGCTATCTGGGGGTAATGAGGGTGTATATATAATGCCCATGCTCTGC